GAGTACAATACATACACACACATTTCACCTCTAGTTGTTTCTATTCGGAGTACAATACATACACACACATTTCACATCTAGTTGTTTCTATTTGGAGTACAATACATACACACACATTTCACCTCTGGTTGCTGCATAACAGTCCATCTTAATGGTTATGAAAAATGATGAAACTTACTTAAGCAGGGAATGGTTAATCAGACCTTTGGTTGTTGTTGTATCTAAMCACACACACATACACATCACATAAGTATAGCCAATAAACACTTGAGTTATTCCTTTGGACAGTGCTAGACACATATTTGACTTAGATGGACTTAGCTATCTGGTTTGTAAGTCCATAACCAGACAGCAGTCCCAAACAGTGTCTGTGTAAGATGAAACGGAGTTGCTGCTTTGGCAAAAGAATATTTATAGAATTTACATTAACTGATTTAGAGAATTTACATTATCTGGATTTTACAACCTATTTACAAGGTGCTAATCAAATGTTGTATTAACTTACTCTATAACTTGATAAATACAAGAAAATGGAAACAGATGTGTGGATGTGTATATAAGATGAAAATGGAAACAGATGTGTGCATGTGTATATAAGATGAAAATGGAAACATATGTGTGTTGTTTACACCATCAGTGGAAACAGCCCCCCCAACATGTAAACAAGTTGCATCATCATATATACAAACACACATCTGGCCACATGTTTGAGAGTTGAGACTGTATTCTGTTTCAATATCATGTTTGGGACTTCACACCAGCAGGCAGCCATAAGGCCATCACCATTAACCATTTGATATGTACTATATAAGGCCATCACCATTAGTACACCAAAACTCAGATATTTTTTACCTTTTTATATTGTCAATATATGATTTAACTCGGATCTTTTTAACCAACTTTTGTTTCTTATAAATAGTCCAAAACAGAATAACACTTATGTTTAAGTTCAACTTCTGTTTCTTATGACCATGAGGCCATCACCATAGCACTTGATATGTACTATATAAGGCCATCACAGAATACAGTCCCAAACAGTCCAAAACATAATAGCATCTTGAAAGAAAAAAACTTGACAAATACATATGCACACACACATTCTTATGGGGCTGTTTACTACTGTTGATTCATTTGCAAAGAGTCTAAGCATATAGCTTCCATAATCCATACTGTAAAATGCTCGAACCATTGAGGTCGAGTCATCAACTATATGCCTAAAATCAAGATAGCACCCATATAACACAGCAGAATGTAAAAGAATGGATTATGCATTTCAACAAATAACTTCCARTTCYAGGAACATGTTTAGAACAAGGATGAGCAAGAATGCAAGTCCGATTTTCTATGTAAATCAAGAACATGTTTAGGACAAGATTTTCTATGTAAATCAAGAAAGAGAATTCAGAAAGCAAAACCTTACCTCAGAGAAATTGCTAGGGCTTTGAAGAAGCTGTGTAGAAATCAAAACCTCCAAAGCCTGGTTATATGCAGCGCTGAAGACTTCTTGGGAACCTCCCATTTGTGCAAGGTTTGCAGCCATTGAAGAAATCTAATGCTGACCTTACTATTTTCGATTTGGCGCAAGAAATTTCATGAAGAAGAAGTTGGAAAAGAAGAAAATAGAGAAAGGTTTTTCAACTTACCCAAAATGGTTTGGCGGGGACGGGATTGGAGCAGAGTATTCATGAGGAAGAAGGTAGAAAAGAATAGAACATAAAAAGCATATTTGACCTTAACCAAAATAGAATTTCTGCATTTCTCTCTTAAAGTCCATGCATAAAAAGGTTGTACCATATGCTTTATGACTTGTCTTTAAGAGATTTTTGAATTTGGTGCATAAAACCATTGTACCATATGCTTAGTAACTTGTATTTAAGATAATGATCAAAATGGTTATATATGTACGTATGTACGTATGTACGTATGTATGTATGTATGTATTAAGTGTTTGGTTTACTATTATAATAAGTGGTTACTTTAAGATGATATGACAAAATTATCTATTAAAAAAATTAGGTAGACATTGCAAATATCATACCATCATCAATTTAAAAAAAAAAACAAATACAAGACCAGGTCCAAAATAATTTGGAACCAAAATGTCGCGTACATCATCTCCTCTCTCATGGCCTTTTCTCACTGTTGTACAGTTGTCTCGTCGCACCTCCGTTTGAGTTCATCCAAACGCAATAGACAAAAACATCACGAATTGTTTGGGTGTTGCTAGAAAGAAATATAACGAACTAACCAATCTTTTAGGTTTTAGTTTGTTTAAAATCGATTTAGGTTTTTGTTTGTACGAGCTACAACTACCCTTAGATATTTGATTTAAGATTTTTGTATTAAATTTTTTTAATTTTTTTTGTTTATGTTGATGATGTTCATGGTTGTTTTTGGTTTTGATTTAGATTTAGATTTAGATTTAGATTTTTTGTTCTATTTTTTATCATCCAAACGAAAAATAATAGGTAAAACACGGACGAAAATTGCAATTTACTAGTATTTTTATTTTTAAAATGGAATTTTTTAGTTACAATAAAAATGATGCCAGATTATTATTTTAGAATTATTATTTATATTATAAATATGACATGACATATTAGTTGGATTTGACTTGAGTCATGTCATAATTAGCAGGTCATTAGATAAATCAGACTCTTAAATATATGTAAATTTTGCTTCAGATTCTAAAATATGATCATGAAGAGGTTGACATCTATGAAGTTGAGGAAGATGTTCATCTTTTCTTGAAAATTCTGATTTCTTGAAAGATTTTCAAACACTTTCATGAGAACCACCTCTGGTTTTTATCCATTTAAGTGATTTGGTTGATACCCGTGAAGACAGGGTGTCTAATGGATGATGACCAGATCGTCCTTTATAGGTTTTTGTCACTTTTGTGAAGTCGCTACAGTATGGTTTCCCGCTATGTGGTTTCATGATCTCTTACTGCATTTAATGAAAGCCATGTTGCATTGAGTGCGGCTTTTAAGGGCATGCTTTGCTTTATCTTATTATCTGGTTGACTTTGTGTCTTTATTTGCATCTTCATGTGGGTCTACAGTGTGACGGTCATTTTTTGCATTGAAATTGACAAGACAAAACTTACTCAACCACTAAACTTCAAACTTGGCTTCAACTTCGATCTAAAGCTGTTAGAAATAGGCTTTACTCCGTTATTGAATTGGTTGTCAGTTGCTAGTCTTCACAGCTGCTCAGTTTTTGAAGTTTTAGCTTTTAACTTCCTAACCATATCTTTAGATGGTTTATCCTTGAGTTCTTCTGTTACAAACTTTGATCGATCTATTGATAAATCAATGGCCCAACTTCTTGATATTTTAAGTATTTTACAAAGTCAATTTTGCGATTTATTAGATCTACCTTTTCAAACCTAGCATACTCTTTCATAATAATTTCTTGTATGGTTTATAAATACATATTTGAAAATTATAATACTAGTAAAATTATTTAAATTACCATATAATATTAATCGAATGTTATCAATTAGTAGATTTGTCTTTTAACAAAATTATGAGATGATATCATATTTTATAACGATAAAGCAGAATTCTAAAAAAGTCCCTCATTTTACAAACCAGATAAGCTGACAAAATTTAGTCAATGAAATCTATCATTCCAATGTCATCAAATTATGTCTCACCAAACTCCGTCTTAGGGCTTTCCATTGTGGGTAAAGTATGAACCGGAAGGCTAAGATTTATATATTCATGCAACGTATTAATTAGAGTCATCTGGCTTGCCTCCATCATACAGGCCTAGGTCGATATTTATAAAGAACCATTGTCTGTTACTTCCATTTGTTTGTATGGTCATTTTCTAGAACCCTTTTGGCATTTGAAAAAGCTCTCTTTAGTAGATCACAAGCTAGTTTTTTGAAAAACTAACTTAAATAGCTTATTTACTTTTATCTAGTTATACCCTTTATATTTTTCTTTTTTAAATCATATTCTATTCTAATCTAGTTTATCAATGAGTTTATGCCAAATGTTACAATTTGTGAAATACAGCCTAAAAGATGAAAAATGGGCACACACAAAGCACTAAGGTGTGAAGTTTTGTACTCACAAGGCTTAAAGACCATTCAACTAAAACGAACTACAAACGGTGTTAGAAGAGACAGATTTCCCTCGTCAAACATGCACATGGGTTCCTTCAAGCCTTGTCATCCGGACAGGAAAGATAATATGAGATTATAACATCCTATGACCAGGAGACAAAACATAATCATAAGTCGAGCCATATAATGTTGCTAGTATCATCAATGAAAAAAAATATGTAAACAATTCAACGCCTCTCTTAAAAGGGCAGATAAGGCATCAGATGAACATGGAAAAGTCGCTAGTTCAAGTCTTCTTAATGCCACTGGGATTTTCAGGCCGTTATCTTTAGGGCCCATGGAATTAGTCGAGGTGTGTACATACGGGCTCATATACCCAAGATTAACAAAAAAAAAGGTCAACAGCAAAAAAGTCGATAGAGTTTCGTCGATAAAGAGTCTTTCATAAATCCACGAATATCTGCAGCTACTTGCCTCATCATCTCCACCTTCCGTCTCACACACACATATATGTGTGTGTTGTTAAACCATAAGAATTTGGTACTTCTAACCAATTTCAATATAAATAAAAGTTTATTGTCCCAAAATTCTTTGTCCCCTCACTATTCACCAATTACAATCCGATAAAGAGTAGATAGAATGAAAAGATGACCCAACAGGGTGTTTGGTAAGAGATATTAAATAATAATTAATGAAAATGAAAAGAAAAGAAACTTTTCGGTTTTTTATAATATAATGGCTCAATTCCTCTAGAAGCCCATTTTCATTCCCGGTTAAATTGAGGGGAATGAAAATTTAAACCTATTTTAACTTTGTCATTTTCACTTTTATGCCCATTTTCATTTCTCTGCCTAAACCAAATGCCTCCTAAATAAAACTAACAATCGTGTCTTCAAGTAATTGAGAGGACGGGGAGACTTTTGGGACTTAATTTTATTCAAGTTTCTTGATTCCATTTTTCTTGATTCGTAGCTCCTAACAACAACAAAACTCATCATAAATCAAGAATCAATAGTTTCTCCTCAAGCTTTGCAATTCGAGCCTGGAAAGAAAAGAAAGAAATATTAGTGTTATGGGGGCTGTTCGTCGAATGCTGAATGATTAAGTGAATAAATGCCAATCGAGACCCATTAGTACTAATGTATGTGTTTTATTCCGTCCATTATGTGGCATACCACAAATAACTCTTTACCCATCATATATAATCATCTTGCAAAAGTTTTGCCTTCTTTTCATCAATTCATGTAAACAATTGCTCTACTCTTTGAGATAGTGGTCACGTCTACAGGCCTCATTTGATTTGGTTTGGTTTTACTTTTTGAATCTGTTTAGATGGTGCGAGTAAATGAAGATGTGATTGTGGTACTATTCACATGATATGAGGAGAAATAAAGATAAAATGGTGAAAATGTATAGTAGTTCCTCACACTTCATTTATTAACAAAACATGAAAGCATTTTGATTACCTTGAATGATTTAGACCGACGGATAGAAGGATCCAACTCTAAAGCCATTGAGTAAGAATCCCCGGCTACCTCGAATTCTTCCATAGCCATTAAAGCATCACCCTTACATATGTAAGCCTATACATTCAAAATTTTGAATCCATCAAACATTGAACCAAATGAGGCCCATATATCCCACCTGGAAATGGAGGGGGTAAGTTGTACACAGACCTGAGCTCTACCTTAAAGAGTAGAGCGGCTTTTTCCAGGCTAGTGAAAAGTGTGTGACAGAGAGATATAGATAGAGCTAGATACGAGTAAACAATAGCAATACAAATATACATACATATAGAGCGAGAGAGAGAGATGCTAGATTATGAGAAACTACATATGAGTTAAGCATCAGGACCATATATAGAAGCAAGTTAAGGATAAATAATCTTCACCAACTTTTTTCTAATATATTTAAACATGGAAGAAGTACATTTCCTTGTTAAGTTGAAGCTCGGGAATCACAACTTAATGAGTGAATTACATTGTAATGGTTTAACTTTTAGAAATATATGTTATACCCTGGGTATTTTAGTAAATAAGTCAAATAGAATAGACTACGGTACAAGTGTCTAATGCACTGTTACATGCTTTAGGTAGTACAAATAAAGGGAATGGAAGATTAGAAGGGCATCGATCAACTTGGTGTGTGTTCTGGGCGAAAGCCTTGGGAGACGTCCGGCGGTCTCGAAGTGCCTGTAAATCTATTGTAACCATTCCATTTCTGTTCCAGTTTCATATTGATTCAATTGTGTGTTCATCAAACCATAAAGGGTACAACAAATATATTTCCTCATCTCATTAAAATTGTAACCGTTATTACTAAAATATTTTAAATCTCCTCCAATCTAGTGGACCAAAATCAATAGCATCAAAAAGTTGTAATGATGATAATAGTCTTCGGGCACTTAGTTTTATCAAGCAAGTGGTCTTCACGGAAACAACTACTCTATTATTTGAGGTAGAGGTCAGGTCTGCATACATCTCTCCCAAGACCCCATCTCTGGGTGGGATATATTGATGTTGGGTTGGGTTTGGTTTGGTTTGGTTTGGTTTAGAAGACTATCTACAATCTAGTTAGTCATGGGGTGTTGTCACAAAATTATATAATTTAAATTCAATGCTCTCTGGTAATAAAAAATCAAGCTTCACCTATATTAGGTTGATAAAATAACTTGGTACCTTAATTTGGTGAATGTTGATTATAGATATTGTTACGGTAGCATATAAAAGAAGATGATGCTGATAAATGACCATTTAAGAGCTAGTTAATGGTGCAACTTGAACTTAAATTTACAATAACTATTCGGCTTACCTGGGGATTCTTGGGAGCAAGAGTAGAAGCTTCTATGGCATCCCCAAGAGCAGCAATCGTATTGTTCATTGCCAACCGTGCAACAGACCTGGATCAGACCTCCTGTTAGATCACAAAAAAATTGATAATCTAATTACTAGGTCAACCTTGGTAACATGGAAGATCATGGGAACTAGATTCCCATAAACTGACTAGAGTTAACCAAACCAAACGACCCAGTTACAGATGCAAAAGGACCGGTTAACTGGTTTTGGGCCGGAAAGGACTGAGGGCCGGTCCAAAAAAGAACCTGTTAAAGAAGGCCCAGTTATAGGGGAAGACCCAATTCGGTCCATGATTTCAAACCAAGTACCGATTTAAAAAGGCCCGATCAAAGCACATTAACCACTTAATGGTGAATCAAAAACCGATGCGGTCAAAGCCCCGTCAAGGACCGAATAATGGCCGTTTTTTGTTTGAAAAATGGACCGACTTTAAGGGGTCACGGACTGAAAAACGCTAATTTTGGCAATTAAAAGTCAGTTTTTCCTTTTCCAAGATTTGTCGCTCCTCACCTGTAACATGTTATATATATATATATATATAGAGAGAGAGAGAGGACGTTTCAAATGCAACTCATTACATTTGTACAACGAATGCAACCCAATCAATTGAGATATTTATAGAAATGATGAGAATTCATTTATTATGATTTGAATATTTATGAAAGATGACTAGAGTTCATTAATTATGATCAATACTTTTTATTAGGAAACAATGAGAACTTTTATGAAATCACATATTCATCAAAACAAATGGACGGTTGAGATTGAGTTGTATTGGTTGTACAAATGTAAAGGGTTGCATAATAACTCACCTATATATATATGTATATATATATATATATATATATCTATATATATGCCTCCCAAACAACTAAATTCCACGGGTAAACTAGTAAAAAAACATACTCTGTGGTTAGAATAAATAGGAGATGTCATACCCAGTATTTTTACACCATTCTCATCTCTCTCTCTCAATCTCTAATTCTCAACTCTCTCAAATTTGATGAGTTAGGCATTTATTCGCAAAAGTAATTTTTTACAAAGTATTGGACAAGAACATAAAATTTTTGACATTTTGAATTGGTCGAATACTAAACAAACTCAATTCAGAATCCTAGCCACCAAGCTAGTACGGTAGCTTAGGAATCTGCATTTTCATTGAGTGGCAGGATAATAAGCGAATGGAGATCAAGGCTTGGCGATGAACCGACGGAAATATGTGTTTGCTTGAAGGACTATACGACTATCAATGAGTGGATAACTTTCAATTGAACCGGATCTCAAAGAAATTGAAGATGATTTCATCAAAGATGAAGACACTTGAAATCAATATGCAACCCTGCTAACATGGACGTGGATGGATGAATTGCCAAGCATTGAGGAAGAAGGCGCAAGAGAAAACGCAGACTATTGAGAAGACACAAATCAAATTTAAGATATGGAGAAGGCTTCAAGTTCAAAAAATCAAAGACATCAAAAGAATTTTATAATTTGTATTTCTATGATTACTTAGTTTACAACGTCATAATTTAACGAATTAGTATTTCTTTAAATGAAAGTTTGAGGTACTTATTAAAATAATTGATTATTTATTTTTTGTATATATTTGTTTGTTATTAAAGAAAACCAAAAGAACTGGTTAGCACTGTCGGCCCAGTCTGGTTAAAGGAAGGACCAGTTTTTTTTGTTGCTTAAAAGACCCAGTTAATGTGCACCTCAAACCCAGTATATCTCACCGGAGGTGGAGTCGGGGTGGGTTGTATGCGAACCTAACCTCTACCGTGGAGGGGCTGTTTCCATAAAGACCCCGATTTGATAAACTGACAAGAGTATATGATCTAATTTTATAGCTGTAAACATGGCTTCCTTAGTTCAACAAAACTTGGATGTCTATAAAGATAATAAGCATCTCAAACCTGTGTCTATATATGTGATGAATTCCACCAACTGGATTAAGATCTAAGGCCTGCAGCAATAATAAGAGATGTCTTGATCAGAGTTCCAAAAACCAAACTTTCCTTGTGGATGTTTCAATAATCATATGAAATTAATATCAAACAGAAAAGTACAAATAAGCACAGGTTAATAAACCCCACCTCAGATTATCTGTCATACCTCATCCCCTCACAAATTAAAGGAACTTTCTAACAATTATGCTTATTAGAGAAATATTCTTCAATATACACACACACATATAGGGTTGGGTCCCGTGAGAAGGGAAGTTATGGTGAGAAGCGTAAGAAGAGATCTCCACCCTTGGATTAATCCTAAATGAATGTCAACACTAATGAGGTGCACCGGATCAATTGCCTTCTAAAGCGCAATTCATGGGTGGGACATGAGAATTAAAGTGATCAACGGGTTTAGATCTCTTCTTACACTTCTCACCATAACTTCCCTTCTCACACGATCCTTCGCCTACACACATATATATATATATATATATATATATATTAATTCACACAAAAAGTGACTTTGTGGACCCTTTTCAAGCATATCCTTGTGCCCCTCTCATCTTTTGCATGAAAAATGATAAAGATAAAACAGAAGTGACAAATAAACTATAATAAAAGCAAGAAAAATGCTGTTGGCAGGTGTTTAAAATGTCTAAGGGTGAGGATGTGTTCACAGTCCAGTTCAGATGGTTTGAGAGGCAAAATCTCGGTCGAACCAGTAAGATTTGATTGACACGATTTCAAATCAAAATTGGCCAAACTGTGTAGAACCGGTTTGGTTGGTTCCGCGTTTGTCCGGTTTTTATTAGTTTTCATGTAAAAGACAATGGCAAACATACACATCCAATTATTCAAACATTAGATCATTCATGTTTGAAAAACAAAGCAAAAGCAAACAATAGAATCCATGTAAAAGTAAAAACATAATTAGGTTTCTGTTTATTGAACTGGGTTTTGTTATTTAAAAAAAAAAAGATAAACGAAGAAAAATTTATGATGCAAAGGTTTGGACCCTTGTCACCTAACAAAAAGCTTCCTACAACTTCTTCTATCTATAGATCGCTAGTATATATTTAAAATTATATTATATATGGCTGGTTCAAGTTAAGATGTAAGTAGACTTGACTTCTACTTGAAGAGTAGAGTGGTTGTTTCCGTCAAAAACGATTGCATTTAAGTGTTTAGCCTAGTGGTAAAGGCTTGGGCATGGCATAGTCATGAACCCGAGTTCGAGCCCTGGGAGTGTTGGCGACATTTAAGTGGGGCCATGTTTAGCCTCCAAATTTGCCGGGGATTAGTCGGGCTTTGGCCCGGACACCCTTACAAAAAAAAAAAAACGATTGCATTAAAGTGCTCATGGCTGACAGCCAATATCTGGACGTAGATTTGGCTTCCGGAGTATTCTCTCAATCATATAGCTTAATCAATCCCCCATGTGAAACAGAAATTTCCCCATATTGAGACTATGAATATAGATGCAATCGCCTTCTATTTCTTTATTTTTAGTCACTCTCAAGTCGGAACATGTGGAACCTCATTAGGTTATTCTCCAAAACAGCCCTAGAGGAGAGAAGGGAGGTTCCAACATATATCGGAAGAAATAGTCCAAACATAGCCGATGTGGGACTCCAACAGAACCTGACCTTGCCTACTGAATTATCTATTCTCTAATATATACACTTCCGGTAAGCTTTATCCAATTTTTTGGAAAAACCTGAATTTTTCTGCCCCGCCATTGAGACATCATTATCCAATAACCAAACCAAACAAAGCGAGTATGGTATGTCTCACCCGGAGGTGGGGTATGGGGATGGGATGCATGCGGACCTGAGTAGAGCAGTCGGTTTCGTGAAGACCCCCGGCAAGAAATCATTATCCAATATTAGCTCTTAAAATAAAGAAAATCTCACATCTCCACAAAAATAAAAAGTTGTAGTTTAACTTCTGTTGTTAAATGGATTGATTTCAAGTAAAATTTGACATTAATCCTTTGCAGCTTTGAGATAAAATAATAACTACATTAAAGGATCATAACAAATAAATCAAATAGTCAAATCTCTAATCAAAATCTGCCTCAACTTTCAATTAGAAAAAAGGGATTAATTCAACCTCATAAGTAATTAGAAAAAATACCTACAATTTGATGAGGTCAAATGGACTAATTCTCAACAAGAAGAACGGATAGTAATTATTCAAGTTTTTAGATGAATTAAAATTAACTAGTTACTGCAATAAAGTTCTTAACAAATGCTACAAAATAGTCAAATTTCTAGCAAAATTCACATTTGATTTTTGAGGAAAAATGGGTTGCATCCTAACTACATCGGATCAGTCTAAATATGAAGAAGATGTCAAATCATCAGAATACGCCACACCATGGACGTATTCAGGACTTCTCTAAATTGTTGAAATGTGTGCAACAAACTTACAATATCTATAAATTTACAATTGATTGCAAACTTTGGAGGATAAATTGATGTTAGTTATTCATATTTTGGGGTAAAATTTAAAAACTACTTGGTACAAAATGCAATCCAAAGTTCCAATTTCCAACAATACCTACATGAATTTTGCAGTTGAAAAACGCATTGAATCAACAAACCTGCGATAACAGAATCTCAGCCGTGGCGAAATCACCCTTCTCCATATGAACCTCAGCTTTTTTCCTGATGGAAAGTGCCTCTAGGCTCTTGTTCCAGCTCCCCAAATCAAAACCAGTTACGATTGCCATGATCTCAGCAGCACGAGCAGCAGTGGCGCAGTGACTCACAAAGGTCGCGGAAGGGAGGATAACGAGGTTAGGTCCGGCCCCGCATCGACCTAAACAACCGCAGGAATTGACGGTGATATTGGGTGGAGCGATGCCTGAGAGGACTTGAAGGGACTCCATTGAGCCTTGTCGCCGGCATGTTCTGTTAGTGCAAACCCTAATCTCATTAGTCTCTGCAGCGTTGGCGTAGATGGGTTTGATTCGGTGGTTTAGCGTTGAAGTGGTGGCGGCAGATGGTGGTAATGGGTGGGGATTGAGAATTCGGATAACGCACACACCACCATTCATATTTCCTTCCCGCTTCGTATAAAAATAACCAACTGAAACCGCAATCAAAATCACCAAAATAAACCGTTTTTTGACTTATAAATAATCGATGTTAAAAAATTAGAATGTGTTTGGTATGCAAACTATATGGGATAGGATAAGACAAAAAAAATAGTTCCATATATGGCAAACCATGGACAAAAAAACATGGGACAATGTTAGACTATTTTTAATTTTAATGAGACAAATTTTGATATTTCTTGTTCCACCAAAAAAGGTGGAACAACATGGGACTAAAGTTAAAATAACAATATTTGGTTGATTTGTTGTCGTTTTACAATTATTATATGATATAAAATAACATTGAACAATATTTAGGGGTAATATGGTCATTTTAATAGTTTTGTTCTGTTCTGTGCTAGTCATACCAAACATAGGACAGACAATTAGTCATGTCCTGTCCCGTCCTATCATGTACCGTCCCGTCATGTCTTGTACCGTCCCGTCCTATCCTGTACCGTCCCGTCCTGTCCTGTCTTATTCAGTCTGCATACCAAACACTATCTAAAAGAATACCACCAACTGATCATGGCTTCTTCACCAAAATAACCAAACTAAAAATGGATTTACAAAAAAGGCAAAAAAACATCAATCTATTTTTATAAATTTTCTTATAGTTTTTCTTATTATAGCAATGTATTTTTATAATATTTTTTATTAGAACATTGTACTTTCAAAAGTTTATCCATTATAGCATTGAATAACATATTACCTTTTGAACAAGTTTTTCTTTGTTGACGTGTCAAACTTAAAATGACATAGAAGTCATATAGGATAACTTGTTACATATGGATAGCTTACATGTCATTTGAAAGAAATTTTTAACTTAAAAACAATATTTTAAAAAGAAAAAAAATACATTTCTTAAACCCGATTGTTCATTCACCCTCAAACTCAATCACCCTCAATCGAACATCCTCTTCCTAATTGACCCTCATCATTTTCTTCTTGATCGAATGTAAACCCTAATCGACCCTCATCATCTTCTTAATTGACTTCCTCAGTGCTTCAATTTTCAAGCGGTAAGTTCAATATGTTTTACAACAATGGATGTATATGTACACTTGCTTTCCCTCGTAGACTTGCCTGATGTTTACTGTGACTATGTATTAATTGATTGTAGAGTTAAACTGTGCATTAATTGGTTGCAACAAGTCATATAACAATTCCATGGAGTTTACCATCACAGACTTGAGTTCTTTCTTACATTCACATGATCATGGTTCTGTCCCCTATATTCAATATCCCCTGTTGAATTTTTTTCGCAAATGGTCTTGCCTTTCTACCAAGGTCTTCTCTTGTTCAACTAGTATCAAGTGAAAAGGAAAAGAAGATAATGAAAAATAAAAAGTTGAGCTTTTATGTTCAAGTTCAATCGAAAAGAAAATCTATGTTTAATAAAAAAGAAGATAAGTGTAGTTTGTCTATTTCAGTTTCTGTTATGTAAAGTCAAGTGTTAATATTGATAAATAACAGAGTATTGACTCTCTTCACTCACTCTTGATTTCCATCTCCGATTAAAAAAACTTTTGAACAAACCTAAATGGTCTTTCCCTTTGTTCTGGTAACTATTGAATCCATAAAATTACAAGATAGGAAAGAAGACTACCATTTCGGGATCAATGCTGTTGCTTTCTTACCTATGCAAAAAGGAAAACAAAAGCTGAAGCAAGCAAAATCTATAGAAAATCCATTCAAGGAAAAAAAAAATCTTAATCTCTGCTTTCCCAATGTCATCATAAGAGAAATGATGACTCTTGCAGTTCTTGTAACACCCGAAAAAAATTTCATATTCTCTACTCTGTCACGTCAAGATTTACGTCCCATTGGTGAGGTATGTGTTCATTTGTGGTTATATGTATTATATTTTTTTGGGATTTAGATCTTTCCTTTTGTTATCAGGTCTTACTTTAGTGTACATATTTTTATGATTATATGTCTAAATTCCTTGGGAAGGTAATTTTAAATTTAGTGGGGTAAGAAAGTCAAGAGGAGAGGGGGAGGGTAGTTGTTGCCATCTTGTCCTACCCATAGACCCCTTTACCTATAAAAATAAAAATAAAAGGTTCCTACTCTTATCTTTGGGGTTTTGCCTACAGTCTCATGGAGGAGGAGTTAAAGGGAGAAAGTAAATGGAGGGGAAGAGGAGAGCATTTCAGTGAGTGGGTGAACTTTTCCCTCTGAGAAGAGAGAAATCGGTCAGGGAAGCAAGCTCTGTAGCCGCTGGTTAAGAGGAAGAAAGGGGAGGGAGCTGTGTTTCACCCGGCTAAGGAAAAGTTCACGGGAAGAGGCAACGGTCGCCGGAGAGACTTTACTGCCGGTCGGGTCTGTGCAGTGCCTCTGGACTATGCACGTCTGCATCGTACCCCAACCGCACCGCCTGTTCGTCCAGCCGAAACTGCATCTAGAGCCAACAGACAGCACAGCCAACGGTTAGACAGCAAACAGCAGCCCCTGTTGTGTTGTTTGCTTTGTTTTCTCGCCGAGCAGCCACCTGTCTGGGTGGTTCGTCTTGTGTATCGCCCATAACAGTCGGCTGTTATACCATCTTTCGTCTGCATTGCCCGGACAGCACCGCTGCTGTGATTTCGCAAACAGCAGACAGCTTAACTGCTGTGTTTCGTTCAGCTGCAACAACCAGTAAGCAGCAAATCGGTGCTGCCTTGTTTCCTTCTTTCCCTTCGCGTAGCAGCAGACCCTGCTGGGCTGCTCTTCACTTCTCCTGGCTCTCCCTCACTTTTGGGTTCTTTTGTAGCTGCTGCCTCTCGGATTAGGAGAAGATCCTGCTGTGCCTGAGTCCCTTCCGTCAGTCATTTAGTTCGAAACTTAGGATTTCCCCTAAATCCTACGATGTGAGTTCAACCTTTTCTTTTCATGAAAACTTTCACTAAATGAAACAATGCACATTTCTTGCCTTATACACTAATTTTACGTAATTACTTCTTGTTGAAATGGAGGTTTTGATGGTCCAAATGAGTAAACTTAGAGTGCTCGTCCATAATGAAAATATGAGGTTGGAGAAGATGGTTTTAATCATTTGGTAAAATAATTATTTCAAAGTATCGTTGGCCCTAAGACTCAACACCCTCATGTTCTACATTAGAAGTTCTTTGTGAGCATATGAAAATACTTCATGTGAATAAAAGGGGCTTATGTTCAACTTTAGTGAGAAATAGAGGTTTAAATGCTTAAGATGGCGTAGTTAAGCATTTCACTAGGATGAAAAGGGATCTTTGGCTAGGATGTCGTTTTATTTGCGTACGTGTGAACGATGGTGTAAGTTGGTATTAGACTTTGCGATTATTATGAAATCTCCAAATCACCTTCTCACTCCCACTCGAAAATAGACATTGTGATTATTATGTAATTTCTGAGGTAATTAGCTTAAGATCACGTTCGACTACATGACTAGTTTAGGTTGATGTCAATGGTTTTATACCTGTAAGTGATGCTCTATAACGTTGATCTATGACTTACTTCGTGTTTCGTCATAAATAACGGAAATCGGGTCTTCCCCGTCATCTTCAGATGTTTTGGCCCCACCTCGTATGTTTTGAACTCACCATCTCCCCCCCCCCTCCTCTAAACTGTTTTAAGTTACGTCAATTTCATATAATGTTATATTTGTTTTAAGGGCCCTTCTTTTAAATGCATTATTTATATTGTTGAGCTCAGTAGGCGTAAGCCTAACACCTCTTCTTGTTTTGGCTTGCCTATCAGGTCCCTTTAGCGGCGGGGTATCAAAGGGTTGAGGAGATGTTGTTCGTAATGGTCATTTTTGTAGATTAAAACGCTTGCTGTTTTCGAGCGTTACATTCATGGTTGATTTTCGTGTCTTTTTGTTTGAGATGGTAGAAACACCCGTCCCTAATCTTGGTATAAAATTGTCTAGATTGTTAGGTTGTTATGCATCGTCTCTTTTGTTATTGATTGTAAACGTTTCACTTATTCCCCTTTGTTGGGTGTTGTTATTTTGAGACCTAGCTTTCGTCAAGTTTCTCGTTGGGTTCTATCTTCCTATTGTATTATTATTATTTTTCTTCTTTATGATATCTTTCAAATAGGTTTTATTTTTATTTTTTTGAGGATGTCACAGTTCTTCGCTCCTAAAAACAACATTTATGGCAATCTAATATAGTTTAGTCGGCCAATACAGAAAATTCACCAAATTCATTGAAGAGGAACCTTTGCCAACAAAGAATTGGTCAAGAAAAACAAGCAGCCAACATAACATAATTAAAAAAACTATGTAGGTGATAAGGAAAAAAATGGGAGAAGGTTCACTTGCTTTTGGTTACAAGAAACTTCTTTTCATGCTTCTTGGAGAATCTTGCAGTTGACATGCTAAATAGCTTGTTAATCGACAATCCTTTTGTAACACCATGGTTATAAAATGTCTAATTAACCCATAATCACCAACCTCATGTTTACACACTATGATACCTTCCAGAAGCACCAAACAAGCTCCAATATCTCCTGGAGTATGTACATTAAGTTTCATGAGCATTGGATGCATATAACTCTATTTAGTTTCATGACTAATTAACTTTCATACTTTAATTTTCTTATTATAGCATTATTTTCTATCCCTGTCTTACCCCACTTAACCTCAAAATTACTCAATGACTTTTATATATGAGTTAAACTAGACTAAATTATATTTCACATGGAACTAGTCTCACCATTTCAGGATATTTCTTTGATTTTATACGAATTTTCAAAGTTGCTGCAAAACAAAGTGACTTTTATAGTCTAAAATATCCATTTTTGATGTTTTTCTACCCAAATCACCTCCAAATGGTTCCAAATTCATAATTTCATCCTTAAACATCATAAAATTTAAAAAAAAAGTAAAAGCCCCTTTCATTTTATACAGTAATTCCATGATTTGCCAAGTTTGACTTTCAAAAGTCAAACTTTATACATTGTAGTTTTTGATTTTGATCTTGGAATCCCGTAAAAAAATTTCGACACCTAAAACAACTCCTAATAGGTCCAAAAAA